TTTCACAGACAGGAAAATAAAAAATATACTTAAGGGGGAACCCCCCCTCCGAAACCTATCTTCTAAACGATACAACAGATTTCGATGAAAATTTCAGCAAATAGAAAAGCTAATGTAACTAGCATCTGATAAAAATTTCAACCAATCATTTTTGATAATTAAGAAGCTATACTCAATTTACTCATGAAAATGGGGCTTTTGGCACGGAACATTTTCCCGAGGCGCGATAGCATGGAAAACGTTGAAATTTGTTTCAAAATGAAGAAAAATCTTTTATCTAGAAATTGTTGGGACAGTTTTTTGAAATTCATCTTCGTTCAATAGTAGTGATCATTTTAAATCGAAAATCGCAAAAACTGCTTTGAGCACTTTCAAAGATTTTCAAATATCTAAACAATGGAGATATATTTTGAAAATCTGTTCCGACAATTTCTAGAAAAAAGTCTCATCTTTTAAATAAATAAAAATCAGCAGAGTACATCAAGCGGTGAACTGGGAAAATGTTCCGCAATGGTCAGAAAACGATAAAAAGTGAAGCTGAGAAAAACGAATAACAACATTGCGACGTAGTTGATGATCTTCTTGTAGAGAGAATTCGAGCATATTATATATCACTGAAAAGCGCATAAAAAGTTCTTACAGTTGGTAGTATTTTCAAGAAAAAAATAAGCCGATTTCTTAAGCTAATTTCTGAATCCAAGTTCACTGTAGCGCCATCTTTTCGAAAAATAGCCTAATTTTGAACCTTTCTTATAAGACTGCAACATCCAAAACATGATTACTCGATACGGTAATGGTTTTAGAGTGCTAATAAAGAAGGTAGAACGATATTAGTTACCGATAATTAAGAAAGAAAATCAACAAGACAGCCGATTTTCCATTATAGCGTCCAGTAAACTTGCCAAAATTAGGCAAAATATGTTCCATTCCTATATAGTTTATACATATTCTGAAAGAGGACACTTGGGGCTACAAGAAGATGTGTTTTTCCAAAAATCGACTTTTTCAAGGAAAAATCGACTTTCGAAGGGGGGGTTCCCCCTTAACAAAGGTCCTCACTAAGCTTGTCTGTATGGATTTGAAGTATAAGCATGCCTCTGTTTTTGGTAAAAAAATCAGCTCGGTTGCTCGAGCCGTAATGGAAATATTTAATTTTCTTTTCGATAAAGTGACTTTTGCACTATCCTGTATATTGATTTTTTCTTACCAGTGACAAAGCAAAAATTTTATTGTTGAGGTCACTAGCGATACTTAACAAAGGTTCTCATTCACCTTGTTCGTATGGATTTGGAGTGTGCAGATGCCTCTATCCTTGATAAAAAATTGAGCCCATTTGGTCGAGCCCTAATGGAGATATTCAAACTTTTTTTCCTTGTCTTGTTACTTATGGGACACCCTGTATAATTCCGCTGATGTCACTGGAGAAAATACATAATCCCAGCCATTTTTTGTATATTTTTTTGAGCCCTAAATGTTTGAGCGACTAGTAATTGTTTTTTTTTCTAATTTTTTTTACCAACCAATAGGTCAAAGTATTCTCTATAGTTTGAAACTAATCTTTAGGCTGCATATAAAGATCGCCTTTATTTTACGAAGCTTGCAAAAAGACTTCCAAACAAACTAGATGGGATCCCAACTTCGTCAAGAATGCAAATTAAGGTGCGAAGCACGAATATCAACTAAATGAAATGATCGAGCTTTCGAAAAAAAAAAGAAAAATCGATTATAGACTCGAAATCGATTGGTATTACTCTTCATGTTGTTTCTATTCCACAGAAAGCAAACTTTTCTGTCGATTGTTGTATCTGGCAAAAGTCGTATTTCTTTTAATCAACTGATCGAAATTTGCACTAGCTTGAAAGCAGCCATTATAGAGTTCATCATTGCGAGAACTCTATGAAAGCCTATGAACATTCTTCTAAACAACATTGTTGATTGATCGTTTAATTATCGGTGATTCATTATCTGACATCAGTGTTTGAATCTGGCGAGAAAATTATCATAACTGACATTTATCATTTATGCTATCAAGAAAGTCTTGATAAGATTAGAAAAAGCTTATAATGGTTCGGGCTGATTGACATCTTGAGCCGAGCAATTACTATTTGACTGACTTTTCGATTCATTTTTAGGTATTTACTTGAAAGTCAAATAGAAGAATTTCTGTCTGAAACTTCACCTATTGATAGATCTTATAGTCCTTCGAGTATTCTGAAAGTTGCAGCTCAAAAAAACATGTTCATTTATCGAGATATTGAATTTTCAAAACGCAGTCATTTGCTACCGACATGTTAAAAAATTGAGTCTATCTAGAAGTCCAATATCATGACAAAGTTACATTCTTTTTGGTCGAAACTTTCAAAATATTCCAAGTGTCATTAAACCTAAGTATAAAAAATATTGCAGGTCGAGATTCTGTAATATGGTTTTCCGATAAGTACCTGAAAATGTGATAAAAATTCAATAAAACAGTCGTAATTCGGCTCTCAAGACTCATGGGATTCAACCCCTTTATACTTTTTCTAGTCTTATCCAGACTTACCTGTAAGCTCAATATGAGCTCAAATAGCAGGCATTAACTCGGATAGTGCCCTGTTGAGATGATAATCCTATCGTTTGTTTAATACTGTTCCAGTAACAAAAATCATTTGGGGAGAAGCTTCCCTATCGAAAAGAATGAGAGGGTGAGTGTGGGCTTGAGTGTTGGATGTAAGTACGGGTAGTACTGTTTCCGGTTCCTTCATTCCATTGCAACACCTACACCGAAATCCTGCAACTACACAAACAGAACAATTATTGAAATTTCAGAGGATGTACTAACATAACAGAGAAAGCACAAAAAACTTCCTTTTGCGCGGAAGCGTCGCGCGCGGTGAAGTCAGTGAACTCAATGAATGATAATGAGCTAATGAATTTATAATTAGCTTCATACTGATGGATGTTGGGGTGGGACTGAGTGATCTTTTTGTCACATCCACACCCTGAATTATAGATGAAATATGTGCTTTGAATGATACCCGAAATTTGAGAAAAGATTGCTCTTGAGTTAGAGACGTGTAAAAGTGTTCTTTTAAATAAATGCTTTTTGTTTCACTTTCAAAACTTACTAGTGAATACCAAAGTGGCAAACAAACTTCAACGTGGTATTGTTTTTACGAATTGAAAAGATGGCTTTCATAGAAGAAAATTAATTCATATTTAGTTCAAATGTTCGATGAAAGTTAGTCGTAAGTATTCATATTCGAATCTCCTCCTGCCTGTTTATTTGATATATTTCGACTGCTCGAGAATGAGATATCTATAGAATAAAACTATTTTATTTTGATCACTACGATTTTCTTGAAAACAATCGTTCGAATAGTCAAAATACTCGCCTGCAAAGGCCCCATCGTCGAACGCTCAACCTATCGAAAAGAGAGAATCCAAGCTCTCCATACAGAATTTCGATTCTCTTCGGAAGCTACTTAGAGGTTATCCATCAATTTTGGGGTTGAAGATAGATAAAAGAGGCCCGATATAGAATAACTATCTAACGATAGAAATAATGAGTTAGACATAGAATTAATCAACACTACTAGACGAAGTATGATGGATGGACTGCGTTTTACTGGCGTAGAATCTTTTCGAAAGAAAAAAAAGAAAGTTTCAGGAAGAATCATATTTTGCTAGAATCTGAAAAGATTCAGAAAGTGGTACCCAAATATAGAACCCTAAACGGCTCACTATGACACCTTTCTTTCTAAAGAGTTCTGTATGCAAGAACTCTTCACAATTTACAGGTACCATACTTAGATAGCCTTGAAAAATTAGATTACTTCTTACAAGAGAACTGTTCCAACAAACTAGTTCGTACAAAATGGCTGCTTAAAAAGATCAATCCTTTAACGAGAAGTTTTCAATAAGATTAGTTTTTATTAGAACAACTTAAGAGTTCCTCAAATTGAAATTTTTACAGAACAATCATATTTTAATTCTCAATCATAACAAAAGTGTAAGCAACTACAAGATAATATTGTGTACACATGTTCCAATTCGATGATATAAGATATGTATAGATGTGTTAACAGCTAAGCTATATTCATATTTAAATACATAGAGATTAAAGCATGCAAGAACACGCAAATTCTTCATTTTGGAAAACATGCAAAGCGAAGCATGAAAGCTCCATGTACACATCTAAGAAAAGTTTTTGGAATGATCGAAAAACAAAACTTGTGTACAAGACACGCATGAACATGTAAAAGTGATGTAAATACATCCAATGGTTTACTTAATAAGTCGAGCTTCTTCATTATCTAGCTTGATTCGAATTTTTCAAAACGTTTTTATAGAATGATTCTCTAAAGACTTCTGCACATGCATAAATATTATTGTTGAAAAATATTGAAGGATTCGAAGATAGAAAATTCAAAAGTCTCTTCAGGGCAATGTTTACTTTGATCAGATCTTCACACTGATTGTTGTGTTTTACACACACACAATAGTGTTTGAAGATTATGGCACGGTGATTAAAATGAAAACGTTCCCAAAAATCTATCCTTGTAGAAGCCTATATATGTATACTATTAAATAATAAAAGTTTGTGGATTAAAACAAAATTATTTTCATATTGGTTCTCGCAAACATATTTATACATAGACATGTATAGTTTGGTAAAGTTTTGAATCTTGTGCGGGCATGCATTGTTAACATTTTTGTAGTTATACAAGAGTTATTTACTATAGTTATATATTGAACAATACTTATCTATATCTAGTGACATCTGCTTGATAGTTCATTATCTATTTTAGCATTTTATTCATTGAAACATAAACAAATGTAAAATCTATTTTTAAAAAACACTTGTTTTAAATGAATATGAAGTTTATCTTTCAATGGATTTACTTGAGCAATCAATGGAATATTTAATTTTCACCTCTTGATTACCCGCATTGTCCTCAATAACACTTTGTTTGAATATTGTTTACAACAATTATTTGGAAATTCTAACCAAAATCCAAATGAGTACAGATGCTGAGATAAGTGTAGCAGCAGCCAATGCTGGTGAATTAAATAAACCAAAACCTCGTTGGATGCCTTTAGAAGGAAATCCTGAAGTAAATTATTTCTATATTTATTACATTTACGTATGACTTTCTTTTTTTTTTTAGGTATTAAATAAATATCTAAAAAATTTAGGTGTAAAGAACGAGGATTATGAATTTGTTGAAATAATTGGATTTGATGAAGAACTTCTCGCTTTTGTACCGCAACCTGTCTCTGCTGTACTTTTAATTTTTCCTATAACTGACGAAGTAGATTATTGCAGTATTCATCTATATAATAATTTCAAATATTTATTTTTAGCATGAAAAACATCGTCGACGAGAATTTGAAGAAGCAGCACATACACCACCTGATTATTCTCAAGCTATTTATTTTTTAAGACAAAGTGTTGGTAATGCATGTGGATCAATTGCAGTTATTCATTCAGTTGCAAATAATCTTGAAAAATTTCAACTTGATTGTTTGTTAATCAAAGAGAAACAATTTTATTATTAAATTTATATATATATATGTTTTAATTTTTAGCACATAAACCATTAGCTCACTTTTTGGAAACAACAAAATTAATGACACCTGAACAACGAGCTGAACATTTAAAACATGCATTGGATATGGCGACAGCTAATGATATGATTGCTGAAGAAGGTGACTCACGTGTATGTATATATGAGCAAAGATTTTTCAGAAAATCAGTTCAGAAAAAATTTTTGATAGCTTATTTCTATTCGGATGAAACAGTTTGAATTATCGATGAACTATTTTTAATTATTATTTTCCATTTGATAAGACTTCTTTATGAATGGAAAAGTTTACTTCATTTAATTATTGATTTGTATTTATATTAAAAATAGGTTATTGATCGAGAAGAACATGTTAATTTACATTTCGTATGTTTCGTCAATGTTAATAATGAACTTTATGAATTAGATGGTCGACATCCACATCCGATTAAACATTCTGTTAAAATACATTCTGGACAATCACTTGATTTACTACGTGTAAGTCAATTTTGAAGTTTCGCAGAAAATTATTTTAATCATTTAAGAGATCATAGATCATCTTGATATTATCACTTAACATTATATAAAAGATAAAATCAATAGATTGCATCATTAATTTTTTTATTAAATGAATGAAAAAACATCTGTCTTTCATTAGGATATAGTATTTTTTGTGATGAATAAAATGAGTACTCTCGTTGATGATAAAAGTTTACAAGGAGAGCTTGAAAAAGAATATTCTTGTAAGAATCATTTTAAGTAAGTCTCATGTTTCGAAATATAATTATTTCATGTTAGAACTAAAAATCTTTATGATGAAAAACTACACTATCTCAAGCTTCTTAAATCGAACTAGATTTGAGAAAAAGCTATTCTATTCCAAAATTTATTTTTATCGTAATATTGTAATAAAGTGCCCATTTTGGAAGTATTGTAAAATCGATATCACTATTTATCATTTTCAATTTCCGAGTAACAGAAATACTTCTCGGCAGAACCATAGGCTAAACTTGAGAAAAAAAAAGTTATGAAAGATAGCTATATCGCTTTTTTCAGTAAAAAAATTATTTTAGCTGAAATACGTAGGATATTATGTACTATTTTGTGTTAGTTTCAAACGCACTATTGTTTTTTTTTGCTTTGAAGTTAAAATTAGATTAAAGTTGAATATGATATTAAAATAGGTTTTTCTCAAAACTATTTCGATTTATGGAATTTTAGACAGCTTAGCTTTTGATCATAAAGTTTTTTAGCTGTATTTGCGTTATTTACATAATATGAGAACCGTATTTATCGTATCTATTTGACTTGACATTATTTTTGACAGAATTTAGTAGTGAATATGATTAGTATGTCAACTTTTAGAGCATAACCAAAATACTCAAAAGTAATAGACTCTGAAGACTACTTAGTCTTTGAGCAATTTTTATTGCTATTCAACAAAAACTAATAATTAGACAAGAATGTGTAGAATTTCATGCTCTAGCTTTTTATCCTACTAAGAATGAGATCTAGCAAGTAGTAGATTTACGACCTTATCAGACGATATCCTTTATTCGTCGAACAGATTCTCGTGTTGTGTTACAACAGAATGAGTACGAACGGTGATGAAGATGATGCTTGCAACCATATTTATATCATAATAGTGAATTTTATGTCTACGAATGTAAATAAAACATGAACAAAAATAATTCTAATGTTTCTTTGGTTTTTTTTCTAACACCTATCTTTCGTCAACGGCAACAGCACGTTCTTTGAAACTTTTCTTTAACTCGAGTTGATCTCTGTCGGAAAATATCGACTGCTACGGAACTTCCCACAATGGAATCTTATTTAACAGAGCTGACAATTTACCATTTTATCATGAAACAAAGCGACATACAAATAAATTTTTTATATAAAATCTGCTCAGTTTTTAACAAGTTGTCATAATATCAGTTCATCTCTTTATAAACATGACTGTATTGAATAACATGTTGAAAATAGTGTTCGTTACAGAATTTCATCCTTTTCCCGAAAATCCCAATTTGGATCAGGATGAAAGTAAAAACATCAAAAGTAACCAAATACTCGTCAACAAGATGAAATTCTGCATGCAATTGCATGTTTTTTGATGAAATACAATGAAAAAAAAGATTTCAACTTCGTCGAGAAAAATCGAAGTTGAAATTTTGATTAATTAAATACTACACTTTTATTCAGAATTTGATGCTAATGCCAAATATATTCAAATATGTGTATACTAATGAGTGTAATCATTGGAGCCTGTATTGAGTTCTATCTCGAGACATTGTTTTACTTACAAAAATTCACAACATAAGCGAGAAAAACCTACTATGAGCGAGTATTGTTATGGAATTTCATCAAACGTAGAAATAGCTTTTGAACGTATTATCTTGGTTCGTAGATGTAAAACATTTGTTGAAGATCATCTGTTGAGAGAGTACTTCGTATCCCATAAATTAATAGCAAATCGAACAATTTTTTTTCCTGCTAATCGCTCTTTGTTTGATGACTTATTCTAATTGAAAGAGATTTCGTGTGTTCAGATCATTCAATGTTATTCAGAAATAGAAACGCTCTCGTTTTAAATACTATCGATCGTTCTCTTGTCAATGGTAGACTTCGCTTTCTTCATTTTGAAATTTAGACTTGCTCTATATGTACGTGATCAATGTTTGGTCATGTCGAGTAGATCACTTGATAGATATAACAAAATACAAGCAAACGATACTATCATTTAATTGAATTATAATTCAATATTCACCTTATCATTTATGTTCTTCAATCAAAATTGCGAACATAATGTTTTAATATTGTTGAAATGAAGAATTCTTGACATTTTTTTACCAACATAGAGTATAATTTTTATCTTTCTTTTAGAAAAAGTATAAGAATAATTAATAGAAAGTAATTACCAAGTTGTTGATTATTATGAGTTGTTCATGAACAATTTAAATTCTTCTCATAGAGTTTCTGATACATAATAATAAAAGATGACTAATTTCGATAGTTTTCGTATATTTTCTTAGAGTATATGAAACAGTTGGTGGCATTTTATTAAATAAGAATTATTTTTCTTTTAACAATCTAAAATTGAGTAGTTTTTTTTTCTAGACTACATTTAGAAAATTAATCTCATTATTTATTTTCTTCTTTTGTAGAGTACCAAAGATGTTATATTAAAATTAGTTGAAAATGCTGGTGGAGATATTCGTTTTTCAATGTTGGCTTTGACGAAAATATCATAAATTAACAAAAGAAATTTTTTTTGCACTGCATGTTTTTCTTTTTATTTGCTCTTTTTCTTTTTGTAATTGAACCAGCATGATTTCATCTAATGGATGTTTTTCATAGAAGTATCCAGAGAAGAAAAAAAAAACAAGATATAACTGAAGAAAATGAATCATTTGAAAAATGCTAATGTTTATTTTTTCTTATTCTCGATAGAGTAATAGTACAAAAACATCAAGAGTGTCTCTTTCCTTAAATTTCAAATGTTTCAATTAACTCAAAAAAAGGTTATGAATTCATGCTTATGCTGTTAACAAGCAAATGAAAGGTGATCAACAATTTTATTTTTCAATAGAAAATCTTCGTTTTGGTTATTTTTATTAAATGACTTGTTTTACAATGCATTTTTTTTTATTATTAAAATCTAACTGTTAGGCCTTTTTTAAATAAAAAAAAACTTCAGATTTTTAGTGCATTTAATGGATATAGTCGAGTTTGTTAGATAAGCGTTCTTTCATCGCATTTTTGCATGAATCATTTTGACATATTTTAATAAAGTGATTCGACAAAGAATATGTGTGGATTTCATCAAATTGATTTTATTATGAATAATAAATAAATTTTGAATGAACCTCAGAAAAATCAAATAATTAGATTTCTAATCAATAAAAAAAGTTCTTGGTTAGAAATAGGTCACCATTAGAGAACAGAAGTATTCACAGTAAATATTCCATTATTTTTCGATTAAGTACAAAACTGAATAGTACTATTATATTCGTACATTCAATATGTTTGTTTATATGAATGTCAAGACAATAGTTGTATTACAATTCAATGTATGAATAGAATACATCAATATTGAGAGAAACAAATAAATACAAATTATGATATGTCATAAAACATAAAATTTGAAATCGTAGAACTCTTTGAAAAAGATATATATAATAAATCAAAACGCATTTGTCTTACAACAGATATGCTCGATCAAAAACAAACGATTTTCAACATTTTAGCAGTATCTTGAAACTTTAATATGATTGAAGAGTTACCGGAAAAAAAATGAGCAAGTGACTTTAATCAAAACAATCCTCACAACGCATAGATTTTACAATGACTGACTTTGTTGTCAATTCAAAGATACAATTTATTTATCTTTTCATATGTTATATATGAATTAAAAGGAAATTCTGAATACCAATTAATACTATACGTCTACGCTCTATTGTTGTTTATTTTATCCTAATAAGATCTGAATAAATATTATTTCTTTTGTACAAACAAACAATAGATGATTAATTTGACAATGATTGTATACTTTATTCTGAGCTGAATGTCTTTGGTGTGGCTCAAGACTGAGCTAAAATAAATGTTTTATTCTGCTCTGTATAAGATACTATTTTGTTCATATATTTTAATAGGATTAATTAACAGATTTCATCAGGAAAAGTTCAATCTAAATATTGCTATTTTTATTATATTTAGTCCGATATTGGCATTCTTATGCTAAATTATACTAGTAGAGCCTGTCCACGAGAGGTGTTGTTCCGTCGCGCTCTGTTTATGATGAATGAGGAGTCGTGGACAGCTTTGCAATTTCTCATTCTGAAAAGCACAATTTTTTGTCCAAAACTGCAAAAACATTTGATCTTAAATATTGAGTGGCTTGTGCGTAATAAAACAAATAAAGCATGACAGAATAACGTTTTGCGTAGACAGGCTCATTAGTTTTATAATTTGAATAAAAAATATAGCGTCATTTTTTAAAGAGTTGCATTTATTTTTCTCTTGTCGTTTAATTATAATGAAAGAAAATTAACAGCTGACAAAGATAATATACTTAACATATCGACTAATATGAGTTAACTATCGTTTTTTTTTAAATTCTATGCTGAATAAGAAATTGGAAGCCTTGGTTAATGACGTTTTACATATTTGCTCACATTTTTAAGTGTTTCTTTCATCATGAAGTAAAAAATAACGATTGCTATTCTTTTAACGTATATAAACTGCATTCAAATGAACGCGTAGAAGCTGAAAAAAAACAGAGTAAGAAAAGAATTTTGTAAGTAAATAACAGTTGTTGCAAACAGAAAGCAGCAGCATTTTTTTTCTACTTGAAAATAGAAAAGATAGTTTTCTTTTTACATTTTATTTTTATGTGAAGATTTCATTGTCTATTTTTTCAGTGTGAGGTATGGCACCCACAAACGATCGTCTGTTTAGTGAAATATGGCCAAAATGTTTTGTAATATTTATGGCTATCATTGAATTAATAGCTGTGCTTGTTCTTTTCATAACTGAATTTGGTAATGTTGGAGTTAATTTTTGGACCACAAATGTATTTGCTGGTGGTTGGTGTGGACTTATTATGCTTATACATGTTATATTGTTATTTGTTGCTGGTAAGTTAATCTATTAAAAATAAAATAAAATAAAATATCAATAATTCAATTTTCAATAGGATGTGGTACGCCTAAATTGCCACCTGCTTTTCGTGCAGTTATTGTTACAGTTATTGCTCTTGTAGCTTGCATTACATTAATTGGATTTGATGCTTATTTTATTGCTCAACCTACAGCATGTTTATTAACTTCATCATGTACTACAAATGCTGCATCCAATGCTACATTTAGTTATGGTTTTCGACAATGGTTTTTTACATTAATGAATAATTGGGGTCCATTTAAAACTTATACAGAAAGTCAAGCTAAACTTTTCGTGCAAGCAATGCAATTGGGTATCGGTGGTTTATGCTTAATTCTTTGCATTATTTATTTAGTTATTTATTACGTATGTACAAATAAATCTAATGGACAAGTAGGACCTACTTTACAATCTCAACAACAGAATTACTATGCACCACTTCACCCAAGTTATTATGCACCACCTAAACCAAGTTATAATGCTCCTCCACTTCAACAACAATATGTTCAACCACCAGCAACTGCTTATCATCGAACTACTTATATTCCACAAGCAGCACCAGGTGAAATTCCTTGGAATTCAAACAGACGATATTAAAACAGATTCTATTTGAATCAATTGAGCTTAAAAGCACTGTACCTTTTTCTTTTCTTTTGTTAATAATAATGATTTTGTTTCATGTAAATTTTCTACCAAATTCGAACAGTTTTTCATAGTTTTACATGTCAAAATCAAAAGTTTATATCGCATTTTACTTTCCTCATTTTATTTTGTCTTTACCATGAAAGCAGAATATGATCAGTAACTTATTTACATTATGCTACTTCAGTTACAATGTTAGAATAACAGAAACCATTTCTATCTTACAAAAAGACCATTTCACTCAATAAAATAATTTCTCTTCTTCAGTAAACATGTTTGATCGTTAATGAATCGTACTGATGGGTTTCCAAATGTTTTCGTTTTATGTTTCTTTTTATAATGCAAATAATAAATGAAATAAAAAATAGAAAAATTTAAAGACCGAGATGAGTGAAAAATTAGATTTATATTGTTCTCAGATCAATGATTTCAGCGCTCAAATTCACGGATTTCTAGTTGGAGCCCACAGGAAAGACACTGCTTTCGGCTGGACAATGGTAAGAACTTCAAACCAGGTACTCGGTGATTCAATCCAGTTGCCGATTCTATCCCATTACGATCAGTTCTGACAGCGACTTGAATAAATTCGGTCATCAAATCCAATCACTGGATTCGTACTTCTAAGTTCCTACTATTCTTTTAGTCATAACTCATTTACTTGAGGTGTACTTAAAAACACGAATGAATAAAAGAGATAATTAATATATTGAAGAAAAAAAAATCGTTTTTTAAATTTATGTTAGGAAGTTTGCGACAATATAACAGAAATAGTTAAATAGCTTTACGATATATTCAAGTATATCTATTCAAATTATTTCATCATTAATAACTTAACCAGAAAGAGACTAATTTTGTTTTTGAAACATATGAATTATCACGTTTTTCCTTTGTTTTTTCTTTATTTAACTCTCAATTATGTCTCTTAGTTTGTAATATGCAATTAAAAATAGGTATTCATCAGTTCGATCTTAACTGAGCATCCACACAACTAAACTATGATGCACTGGATTAGTGAAATTATCTATTTCATAGTTGCATTAGGTAAATATTCAGATCAATGTAATTATTATTATTTTATGCATCGGAACTTATTGAATTATTGCTTCATCTTGTGACTATGATAGAACACTGCTGTTTAATACTATTAGGTTTTCAGAAAGTGACTAATAGTATTCATACTATTTGCAATGGTAATTATTACAGTGCCTTAGAAAAAGTATATATTAGTCATCCAATATAATATAGATCAGAGCCGTCATCTTAACCTGCTGCTTGACAGACCACCGGACCAGACTGAGTTTTGAAATTTTAGCTTGACCTATGTGTGATGTGATATTATTTTCCCTTACATAACTTGAAACATAAGATGACGACAAAGGTTCATGATTTTCTAGAGATATGGGTATATCATAATAATATTTTTCCGATGATGTGAAATAGTACTGATATATTCAAAAATATTTTGATAAGTCTAGTGTTTCTTGCATGAAAAATATTTTTGATTATTAATCTCTTTGTTTACATTCCCTATTTCTTCAAATACTTTTCATTGTATAATTTTCATAAAAATGAATTACGTGTATAATTGCGACGAGAATGACACATTATAATAAGGTTATAGAACTTATTGAATTCAAAAAAACAGAAACATCAGTCGGCTCGTTAACTGCTCGAGTATAGATCAATTAAGTGAATACCTGGAATCGATTAGACACCGAATAAATTAAGGTCAGTGCATATCGAATCTTTTTTTCGTTGCTTGAATTATTATGGAATTATTTGCTTAGGTTTTTCATTTTTGATTAATTAAATTATAAATGGCGGTACAATTCAATCCTAATGGCGATTAAATGCTATAAAGAGATTATTTGATTTTAGAACTCGTTCGGCAACAGTGATCCGATATTGAAATTTTTATTTTGAGAGTCTTTTTTAGAAGGCAAAAAAATTCAGTTTTCTACTATGACATCGATTATAAATTAGTTTTTCAAGTGACATCTTCTTCACGTTTCTTGAATTTCCATCAGTAAAATTAATCAATATTGTTTCTTTGATATGTACTATTTAACTTGTAATACAATCATTGAATAAAGTTTTTTTTACCGTATGACAATATCTAAACTGAAAAACATAATTTAGTAAAAAATTGTATTCCATTCCACATGATGTCTGTCAATGTATGATGCAAGAGATGCACTTGAAATTTGTTTTTTCAAAATTCAACAGGATTCAAGAGAGATTAATAGACACAAAAGGACAATTACCAGCTGATAGCTTCCTTAAATGGTGGTGTATGACCGGATCTAAAAATATTGGCTCATATCTTAGAAGTTGAATACTTATAAAATCTAATTATCGTTTTGTGTGAGTTAAATATTTATAATTTATATTTAAGATTAGTAACTTGTCAAGATTATACTAAAAAAGAATCAATATTAGAATCTATTTCAACTAGAAAAGAATCGAGAAAATATTTGTTTTATTTTTCTTTAACTGATTCATTTATAAATTCAATTCAAAAACAAAGATTTTCGATGAAACAAAAAAAAAGCTCGTTCTAAAGCATTAAAAAAATGTCCACAAAATCGATCTTGTTATATATTACAAACATAAATCAAATAAAAGAATCACATTCAATGGAATATTATCCAAGCTGTATTTATTATTTTAATTTTATTCTGTCAGTCACGAAACAAAAAAAATTTTTGGATGTACAATATCAATTGATTAGTTTTTAAATAAAAACGAACTTATGAAAAAGAATTCCAATATAAAAAGCTACGCTCGAAAAGCAGTCTAGTTTCATTTTGCTTTTGAATATATGATTTCTTCTCTTGTTGATAACTGTAGACCTTTTCTTAAGTAATTTTTTTAACTGCAGCTATTTGTGATCTGTGACATGATATGATAGTATCTTCTTTAAGTGACTCTAATAATTCTTGTATTGTAGTTATTGAAATAACTATTTGATAAGATTAATTCCGATACGAGAAAAAAAAAGAAGATGTGTTAATTCAAAATCGTAATCATCTGTTTCAATCTATAATTATTCTTTTAGTTATATTTTGAAGGTAAACTTTTATGCATTTCGATGTTTATCGAGGATGGTATACATACATTTTATGTTGCATCATAAGTTTCTCTCTCTTTTTTTCTCCTTGCGCATATGTTCATGCACGAACGGTTTTATTCGTATAGCTATTATTCATTTTTTTTTATTCATTTTTATGAAATGATACTGTAATAATGGAGGAAGAAGTGCCGTTGAAAATTATCGAACTATCTGATTTTCTTCGTTTGCCATCAATACTTTCCAAGAGACTTGAATTTAAACAAACAAAAGCTGAAGACTTATCATTCGATCAACGAAGAAAAGATCGACACAGTTCAGGCAAACTAAAATTAAAAACTACACAACCGAGCGTTATTTTATTAAAACAAAAGCCAATATCTGCCGATAATCATGCTGATGAAGACTATTTCAAACCAAAGGAATTGATTGTACCTAAAGATATTATTGTATTTGCTGATGATGTAGATCGAGAAAAAATTGGTCTATTCAATAAAGCAAAAAGCCATTTTTCTAGGTTCGTTAAAAACAAAAGAACTAAGAAAAAATAATTTTTATTTTTTTCGAAAAATATTAGACATTTATTAGTTACATCGGGTGCCGCACTTCAAGCGTTGATACCTCCATTAACTAACGCTACAGAATGGATTGTTGTTTGTAAACTGAAATATTCGAAACTTTATACAAAAGAATTACCAATTGAAAGTAATTTATTTCATAAATATTCTTGTCTTGTTTTTTTTTATTATCAGGCGTTTCGATTTGTTTAAGGAAATGTTATTATTTCATTGAATGTCAATCATCCTTATGTTCGCTATGAAATTCTTACTGCCTTTGATTTATTACAACAATCATTCAATGAAATAAAATCAGCTTATATTATGGTTTGTGTATTTTTTTTCTCTCTAAAAATTAAACATATAAAAATAAAAATAAAAATTTAGATTGATTTTTCTCGAATATTAAGTCGATGGTTTAGAAATTATCTTCAACGTACTGATCAGTATCCACCATTATCGAATCGAATATTATTTCGATATCAATTTCAAACATGTAAATGTTCACTTACATTAGGAAAACGACAATTTCATCAAGATAATAAGTGTTATCGATTTGGAATTAGTCGACAAAAATCTGTAAATAATTATGCCAATTTATTATTCAAATAAATTATTATTTTTATTTTATTTAGCATTGTAAGCCTGATATTCCAATGCAGATCTATATTAATTTCAATTCTTTACCAACAATGGTCTATGCAATTCAATTAAATAATATATTCATCTATTCAATGAGTATATCTCTTATATCTTTGTTTTTTTATTTTATAGAATTATCTGTTGTATTTCTAGATGATGAATATAAACAAATATTAAAAGATATTGGCAACGGTTTATCATTAGTTTCTGTACAGAGTCTTAATCCTAGTGGAATTGTAGAAGAGAAGCCAAATATTTGTAATTCTCGTGTTGAAAAGGAAGAAAATTTTCAAGGAAAATATTCTGTTCAAGAAAAACATTCTGTTCAAGAAAAGAATTCTGTTCAAGAAAAACATTTTGTTCAAGAAAAAGAAGAAACAAAATCTCCTCCATCATCAGATGAACCCAATGAACAAGAGAAATTTTTATTTGGAAAACTTTGCGAGAATCGAATGCGAATTCAAATGCATCATCAACAATTAATGACGAGAGCAGCACGATTATTGTGTCTTCCATCTATCAATAATGATTCATTTTATGGAAAAAATACACAATTAAACAATGAATCGAATTTACAAACAAATAAAATTGTTTATTATTGATTTTTATATAAATTTAATAAAAATTAATATAAACGTCTATTATTATATTGTCTTATTCGGTTTATATATTGATATTCAAGCTAGTCTATTTCAATAGTTGCTTAATCATTGAGAGATTTTATGATAGTCTCTAAAAATTAAAACCTCATTGATACGCATTAGAATAGGAATGCAAATATTCTTCAGTATTCTGATTAAAACGATACATATCAAATGTCATATTGTTTGAAACAATAGTCACTTGTATGGCTCGTCCTTGTTAAATAACAGATTGAAGTAACCATCGGGTCATCGTAGTCATTACTCAATACTAAAAGGACATAAATTGACATAGAAACAAAAGTAAATTTCTTACAATGAAAAGTTTTGTACTGTTAGTAAAGAACAGAAGGTATATTTGGATCAAATTAAAGGTCACCCTAGTAAACTAACAAATCTAAAATCTGATCTGTCTATGACATGCATCGAATATGATAACGAATATTTTAGATATCCACTAGTCAATATTGTAATACCATTTCTTTCCTTGATGATTGAATAGAGTTCGTCGAGTGACATTAGAAAAACTGTATTGCAAACATAACAAGAAGATTTGCATAAAAGTTGAAATTTTATTTTTGGCCTATTCTCCTTATATTTGAAGAATATAGGTATCTCGGACATTTTTCATGGATATTTTTTACTTTGAAACACTTTCTCTTTTGTAAATCGCCGAACTCTATCCAACCATTTTTCCAATAAAGATAAATAAATAGTGTTAAAATTTTGATTCTTGGGTATCTTACATACACTATAGATCGATAAAAAAAAAGCTATTATCTCGCTCGGTGCGTGTCATGAGTAGTTTAGATTTTTCTATTGTTAGATGAAGACCTGAACACTATTAATGCAACGTTACACATGTATTTCTCTTATTTGATAACAGATTAAACATAGCTTTCATGATCCAAACAAGAATGCTTAATTATTATGTTTACTTACCTTATTTATATGAAAAACAAAGCTTTGAATAGACTTGTACCACTAATAAAAAAATCAGCTCATTTGATTGAACCGATGCCGAAATATCTCACTTCTTTTAACCTAGTGTTACTTATGAGCTACCTTATTTAGTTTCGATCAAAAGAAGCACTTAATTTTAATATCGAATGAAGCAAAACGTTTCTCAACATAGACCTTAAAATAATTCTCTGTTGCTGTCTAAAAGTTTGAAATATCTTAGTGCAATACAATGACTCATCTAGTTTTTAGTATCCTTCTTGTTGAATGCCTGATTAAACAGAAAAATAAACAATTTTTTTTTCATTTTAGTTTTGATCTCATATAGACTAGGATTAAGAATAGCTTATCTCTGTCTATCGGTAGAACTATCATTTAATGAATTCTTATAGAACTTGATGTGTTTATTTACTATTGTTTGATTTTAACAGAAACTTTATTCTTTTGTAAGATAAAATCTGAAATCTTTTTCTCCGAAAAATTTCATTTATTATTCGGTGATATGATAATAAAAATCTTTGTTAATGAAATATAATTATTATTTCTAAGATTTTGTAACATATGAACAAAAATAAATGAAACAAATATTCTTGCCTATTTTATTATAAATAAACTGCAATTTATTTAAAATGAACAACATAAAAACAAAGAAAAAAAAATATATAAATTTTGTTTTGGATATTTTATAAAAAAGGGAAGAATTAAAAATCATTTTTTATCTTATGATTTTGTTTATCTTGAAATGTGGAGATAACAGCACGATGATCACTTAAATTCCATCCAGTGGTATCATTCCATTTCTGTTCATCACAACCACGAGGAATTAATTCACTTGAAATAGGTCGAAAAGTATTTGATTGATAAAAAATAAAATCAACACCTAATTCTTCATTTCGATGTGTTAAATGTGTTACTTTTGGTTCTTTTCCATGAACAATGAAATAAGATGATTGAAATTGTTTTTCTAATAATTGATAAACAGGATCATTATCACATGGAGAATTAAAATCTCCACAAATAATAATTGAACATTTATTTAAAAGATTATTATTTATTTGATATTCATTAATTAATTCAAGAAATTTTTTCATTTGTGTTAATCTTAAACGACGATCAAATGAATCATGTGGAAATGTTAAATGAATATTTATTAAAAGTAAACATTTTCCATTATATTCAATATTAAGTAAAAGACCAACACGATTACCAATATCATATAATAAAAGATCATATTTATCAACAAATTTTAAATAATTTTTATCAACTAATATTGCTAAACCATCATCAAGATTATTTGTTCGTTGAACATAATGAAAGGAATATTTTGATGATAGATGAGATTCATATAATTGTAAAAATGATGGTTCATTTAACCAAAATTCTTGTAAACAAATTATATGAAGTTGAAGTGATTGAAGAAGTTTTATTATTGATATATGACGTGGTTTCCAAAGAGATTCATGAGCACTTTCTCGATCATATTCAGATGATAAACGTTTATAACAAGGTGCAAGAACATTAAATGTACATACTGATAAATTATTCGTTGAAACTGTTGATAAATTAGATGACATTTATCTTAAATAATACAAATAATATAACCAATTACTTAGATTTTTCTTATGATAATTATTTACAAAACATTATGTTAGTCGTGCTATTTATATGTAACAGGAGGAATTTAACTTTGATTGGTAAATCAATGAAAATAAACCCATAGAACAATCATGACAAAGGTCAAGATTCAATTGATATTTATTTTTTTGATGAATAAAAGATCGTACATAATTAACTTGTCTTAAAGAAGAAGAAGAATACCAAAAGCAAAAATGAAATACACACACACAATTTTGTCAAATATGATGGATCACTTAGGTGGGACTGAACTATGAAGACGATTATAATATATATATATATTTTTTTTTTTTCAAATTTTTCTTTTGTCTTCTCAAATATGTATATAAGAAAAAAAAAACAAGACAAACAACACACACACACACATACAATTTAGGTGCACTTGCATAAATATTTTAAATTAATTAATGATATACCATCATCGGAAACATTGCCGTCGAGTTTCACGACACCATCTTGATTATCAACAGCAAGTAGATCACCAGATGCACCTTTACTATCTCCACCGATAACATATATCTTCAAAATTAATAAATAAATATTTATTTCAAGATAAATATTTTCATCTTACTTTATCATTTAATTTTGGTGTAACAGGTTCCATATGATCAAGAGGAATAACAACTCGACGATCTTGTTGAGTGAAATGAACTGTACAAACACCATTCTAAAGAAAAAAGAATCAATCTTAATTTTTTCTTAAAAATATAATTAATTAATACAAAACTTACTGATATACTTTGAATAACACCAATCATTCCAACATGAATTGATTCATCTTCAATAGGTATTTTTATTCGAACATATAAACCCTCGGCATGCCAATCATTATTTGATATTGAATCAAGATCTATATGTTATTTTTTTAAAATTATTTTCATAAGAAAACAAAAAAAAGAAAAACAAACCAAATGCAGTTGACATAGGTGCATATTGTGCACTTGGTGTTACAGGTGCCATATTTATTGATGGAGAATAAACATAACTTCCAGCTGATGATTGATCATTAGTTATATTATTATTTGATGAAGAAAAACTACCACCTGCTACTCCTGGTGTTGGAATATGAGAACTATATGCTATTTTAAATAGAAATAATATTATTATTGTTATTATTTTAAAATAAATAAACAATTAATTAATTATTTTACGTTGATAATCCATCGACATAGTTGATGATGCTGTTGAATGATTTGAATATGATGAATACGCATTGGATGAAACATTTGACCCAACACTTGATGGACCATTTGCTGATGCAAGTAATGAACCAGATACTGATGTTGTTGATGATGAAGAATTTGAATGTGATGATGGACCTGATGTATTCGAACTTCCAAGACCACTTGCTAATGTATCTGCTAAATGACTGTATGAAGGTGTTGTTGGATTTAATGTAGAAAATGGTGATGGACCATCATCATCATCATAATCAACTCTAAATATTATTTTACAAGAATTTGAAACGAAAACAAATTAAAATATAAACCTAGGTGTTGTTGCATAAGTTGGATCCCATGCTGATGCACCACCATGTGCATGTGGTGTCATGGAACCCTCATGACGAGGTGTCTACAAAGATTTATTTTCTTTACTAATTAATTAATTTTTTTATTACAAACCATATTTCCATAATAAGGTGTTCGAGAACCATCATGCATTGGAGTTTGATTACCAATCATTGGTGTTCGTGAACCAAATGCAGCATAAGATGGAGTTTGAGAACCATGAAGTGGTGTTGTAAAATGATGAGACATTTCACCAGCATGACGTGGAACATTTCTAAATCAATTTAAATTAATAAAAACAATTCTTCAATGATAAATAGAATTAAAATCAAGACAGACTTATATTTCATAGACATTTTCTCAACATAAAGTCATAGCTGTGTTTTATTAAACATATTAAAGTCAGAAAGAAGATTTAATAAATTTGTGTTTTTTCTTCAAAAATAAAAAGTTTTTATTTATTTCTGGAAGATTCTATTAAAAATTCCAGTTCTCATTCAAAAGGTTATACTCCATGATGTTCGATTTCTCATCAGCAATTATAATTTTTTTTGTTCTCTCAATTTCAAAATACATCAAAATATGACGTTAACATAAAACTTTTTATTTTATAATATTCGAAATTTACCCATATGATTCGAACCGAACAAAAACTATCAATAGAAATTTTTGCATCATGTGCGCTCTATTCGTGATAATACAACATGAAGATTTAATCTTCTTAGATTTTAATTTCATAGATCGAAATTTCTCATTTAATATTTTAGAATTAAAAGAATAACATACGTTGTTGATACAATTCGATTTCGATCAACAGTAATTGTTTGACATTTAGCATGAAGTTCAACTTTACATGTTGATTCAGTTGCATCTTTAACAATACCAACATAACCTTTATAAGGTCCTTGTGAAATTCTAACTGTTTGTCCAATTAAAGCTGTATCACGACGTATATTATTTACTGTTGACAATGGTGCTTTTGGTCCTCCACTTCCCATTGAATTTGGTGTACGTCCACCAGATGATCCTGGACTATTTCCATGTATTGATGACGAACCACTTGATGATGTATGTGGTGATGGAGATGGCATAACACGTGGTGACATATACGGAGCATTCATTGGACTTGATGATGGTATTGATGAAACTTTTGATGTTCCACCAGCTAATGATAAATTTCTTGCTTTACATACAAATAAACCACCATTTTCAGTTAATGTACGACAAAATATAAATACAAAATGACGATAAAGATGTTTTATTTGACCTTGACGATTCTAGACACAAAAAACAAAAACAAAAGAAAATTTAAGAGAAAAAATAAAAAGAAAATTTTGAATTCTTACTGCAAATGGTCCCTCATTAACATTAACAATATCACCAACATTTAAATTATTATTTTGTGAATCAAGTGCTGTTGCATTTCGATTTATTTTTCTTTTTGTAACTGATTGTATTGGAACAATTTGAACTTTTCCATCCATATTTAATACATGTAAACGTTCTTTTTCAATACGTATGACAACACCAACTTTATCGGCTCTATAAACAAGAATTTTCATATTTTTTTGGATAAAAATTAATAAAAAACATACGATATATTAACTAAATCTCTTAGTTGAAATTGTCCAGTTGCATCAACACCTGTTGCTGTTTCTTTTGTTATTTGAAGATCTGATGTTCGAACAGGCATCTAAGAAATTTCAATAAAGAAAAAAAAAAAAGAAAAGAATTATTCAATGTTTTATTTCTTTTTTTGTAAGTCTATTGACTAACTTCATCTTTAGTTCCATCACTTAAAACAACTGCTTTTGTTCCATCAATACCAACAATCATACCAGTTTCACCTTCAAATCTTCCATTTAATACTTTAACATGATTTCCAACAGAAAAATATTTTCGTAATTCATGTGCTTTAAATGGTATTTCATCTTTTAAAGCTTCATGTTTGGGTAATATACGAATTGAATCTCCATCAATACCAACAATTGTACCTTGTAAATTTACTAATTCACCTTCACATACTTCAACATGATCACCAGGTGCAAATGATAATAAATCATTTTTTGATGTTTTTCTTTTATTTATTGAAACTATATGTTAATATAAAAATAATATTTTTAATAAAAATTGTTTTTTTCTTTTTTTAATATCAAAACTTACCATTACTTTCAGGTCCATCAATTGCTTCTTCAAATTTATCTAATTCAGTGATACTTGGAGTTATACCATCGGCTGACTAGAAGTTTTTTTTTTTTTTATTTAAATTATTTTTTATGCTATATATATATATTACAAATCATTATTTAACAATAGAATATCAAACCGATTTTAATATAATAAAATATACGATATAATTTCTTTTCTCAAAACTTAAAATATTTACTAGATAAATAATATCTAGTAAGCAAATCGAACTAAGACTATTATTTCATAACGAGTAGATGTCATAAGAGATTTCTTCGGTAAAGATTTTTTTTTGTATGATTTCATCTAACTTTTTGATCTGTATCTAGATGATTCCATCAAATGCCTAGTAAAAAGCGATGAATCATTTTAAGAGATTTTTTTAGCTGTGTCGACATTTAGAAAATTTCAATCATTTTCTATTTTATTTGATCTGAAAAAGATTTTATGAATTTTAGAAGAAATGTTTTTTTTTTTGTTGACAATATTCCTAAGTAAGGTTACGAAATTTTTTATTTCCTGAGATTTACTTAATTCAGGAAAAGTTCTCGAATATTTATTCTTGCCTAAAAAATTTAAATCATAATAATAATAATAATCGATCAAATGTTCTATTGTTAAAAAATGAACTGTAACATATTTGCAAAGTTTTTGTTACTTACAACAGCATGAAGTGGAAAATTTTTAATAAGAAAACCTCTTTCATCAAATTTTCCACCTTCAAACGTTCTGTATTCAGTTTCTTGTCGAATGTGTCCACCTGCAGCTCTAAAAATCAAAAGATTTTTTGTGAGAAAAAAAAACAAACAACATAACTTCAATTTGTTTCAAATTCTTACTCTATAGCTGTTTCATCAAATAATTTAGCTGGTGGTCGTTTAAAAGCAAAACTTTTTTTTTTCTTAAATGTTGGATGTGGTTCAGGTACAATATCACTTTGATCATTGGATGTTCCACGTGGTCCTCCACGTTTTCTACTATAATCAATTCTTGGTATTAATTTAAGTGTAACCATATTTTGTATCATATCACAATGTTCAACTTTAGCTAAATCATCTCGATAAATACCACGTTTAACACGTACCCATGAACCTTTTTTTATTCCATATGTTGTTTTAACAACACGAAGTATATCTGTCATTCCTTTAATAGGTACCATTTGAAGATTTTGTACATTTAATGCACGAATATCTTCACATGCTGCTTTAACATGATTTGATTTAAATGCTTCAACATAAATATAACCACGATCACCTTCTTTAACAACAACTGATTTTATTTGTAATGCCTTGCAAAACAAAACAAAAACTAAAAATCTTATTATAATTAACTTCTTTTCAAAAAATCAAATTTTTATCTCAAAACGCTCAAATCATAGAAAATTTTCAGTTTTATATCATTATATTGTCATATGATATTCAACAAATAAAACTCAAAAATTGTTCAATAGGTAAGTTAAAATTTTCGGTGATCTTCATAGGTCCTGCTTTTTTAACATGGTCTATATCAATCAAAAACAAAAACTAGTCATTTGTTACAATGAAGCTTCTTCAAAAATTGTCACATGCTTGATCGAGATGTCAAATAAATATTATGTCAGATTATCTGATTTATCTCAATTTTTAATGTTTATCCTGGAATATTGACTTTTCTGAAAGATCATAGAATATTTATTGTTTTTGTCATTACTTTTTCATCATTTTCTAAAGCAAGAAATTTTCTCATAAGTAATAAAGCTGTTTGTTTTTCTTCGCCAGTACGACATTTAACTGGCCAAAGATTAGGTGATTTAACATCAGGTAATAAACTTTGTTGTGTTATTTCATCGGGAATTAAATCTCCATCTTCATACTCATCATAATCACCACGCATTGCTCGACTTTTTGGACCATAACGTTCTTTTAAATATTGTTCCATTTCAGCTGGATCCATTTCACTAGATAGAAAAAAAAAAATCTTTTGCTTAATTAAAAATAGAAAAAAAAGACGAAAGTAAACTTTTCAGCTATTGGAAATTTGGCTCGGCCAGCTCGATAAAAATCAGCTGGTGTTGTATCATGAATACCAGTTTCTTCAACAAAACCTTCTTCAGGTGCATCTTCTTCTTCCTCTTCTTCTTCATCTTCATCAACATCTATCAAAATATAAAAAATAGATTTTCTTATTTGTTTGTTTTTTTTGTTTCTTAATAAAATCTTTCACCAGCTTCATCAATAATAAAATTTTTTCCAGAAATTTTCTTTTTCTTTCGTTTTTGTTGATGATTTCCTTTTTTTCTTTTACTTGTACTTTCTTCTTCATCCTAAAATGATTATTAAAAATTTTGTTGTTGTTGTTTTTTTTTAATGATAAAAATAAACCTCATCTTCTTCATCATCTTCTTCCTAGAAAGAAAATCATAATAAGATAATATTTTTAAACGAAATTTATTTCGATTTAACCTCTTCATCATCATCATCTTCTTCGTCTTCTTCCTCCTCTTGAGTTACTTCTTCATCATCTTCATCATCTAATCCTTTGCGTTTTTTTGATTTTCCTTTTCGTAAACTATCTTTATGCTAATATAGAAATAAAATATGGTAAAAGAACTGTTTCAAATAATTCATAACAAACTTCTTCACTGTCGCTCATTGTTAAAAATCAATGAATATTCTAAAATACGATAAAGAAACAATTAATTAAAGTAACAGCGAATAATTCTGACCTTCTTCTTGTTTTTTTGAATCTGCAGAAATGAATCGATAAAAAACTATCATGGAGTTTATATAGTAGACAAAAAATGATTTCTATTCGTTGAAAGACTTTAACCAATAGAAAACGAACGATTTCATAAATAACATAAATTCATCAATGAACAAGTGATTTGTCACTAGAATCGATTTTTATTTGACATTTTGCATTAATGATCAAGATATATTATTTTCCTAAAAAAAAACCACGAAATTTCATCATTGGAGCTTTCTTCTCTATCAAATATTCTTCGTAATTTTATTTTAGAAATGGTTGAATGTGAATATTTGAAATTATTTATTGCTAATTGTAAAAATGATTATAAACTTAATTGTCGTCGATTACTTTCGGTAAAAGTCTTTTAAATATATTATTTATCAAAATTTATTGTTGTTGTCTATTTAGTTTTGTAATAAAACAATGGCTTCATTTTTCTATATGTTAACATATCAAGTTGAATTTGATGATCGAGTTTTTTTCACTTCTGTTGAATTATTAAATAAGTATTGAAGATTTTTTTTATTATTATTATAAACTTGTTTTCTTACTAGAAAAATTTTTTTTAAAGATATTTAATCTGTTCAATGATAAAAACGTGTAGTTCAATTAATAAAGATCCAAACAGTCTAAGAAATCAATATGAATTAATCAAAGAAAAATATCTTCGAGAGAAATACATTATTGCTACTGGTTGTTTTCAACTTTCAACACAAATCTGTGTATGTCACTTCTTTTTGTTTCTGATTTGATATGTTTTTTTTTTGTTTTAATTTCAAATCTTTCAGAAAATTTCACAGTTATCAGAATATTCAACGAGAAAGAATCTAAAAAAAAACATTTGTATAGCTGAAAAGGTTTCCTATTAGGATTGGTAAGCTGGAAGGTTCCAACAAAAGTGGTTAGTTGAGGGTCTACGAAAAATCACGAGTTCTAAAAACAACTTTCTGACTTCTATTCAATGGTTTTGACGAAAGATTTTATTTGATAGAATAAATGATCCGAAGTAATATGAGACGTCTTCGAGCGCTTCATGATCTTTCTTCATTGAACTATATTTAATTTACAGGAAGCTCAAGAATCATTCCTCTCTTCTTTTTATTGAATATTTCAATGTTTGAAACTTTGGGACCTTCTGTAATTTGAATACAGCTCAATAAAGAAGGATCATGTATAGATCGAAGACATACTTACTTTGCTCTATCAAATAAAATCTTTTTTCAAAAGCTTCAAAAAGAAGTCAGCAAACTGCTTTTGGAAGTCTTTAGGCTTAGCAATTCTAATACAAGATTCTTATTAGCTATTTCCATCGAGAAAGAAACTTAAACATACAACTACTCTAAATTTTTGTCTGTCACTGTCATTATTGCATATCTCAACGTTAAGTACAAAAATAATGAAGAAATTCGCTACAATATAGAACAAGTTCTCTGTGATTAGCAAGAAGCAGCTAAATCATGTTTCACATTTTATTACCATAAAGATTACGCTAACAGATTTTCTCGTTAATAGATTTCTGCTACAATGTTTCTGATTTCAATTTTTTACTAATAAGAATTCGAATCATTAAGATGGATTTTAATTTCTATTGTGTATTATCTATGCCTACATTGGACATCTTATCCTTATATCTACAGATCAGAAAAAGGCTATCGAGTTCAAACTAATGATAATCTTTCATTCTTCTATAATTGAATATTTAAAAATATATGACAATATTGAGATTAATAAATAAGTATATATTCATTTAAAGACAAGATTATATTTAGGATCGACCAATTGATACTCCTCGTTTAATTGAATATTTTCATGAACTTGCACGAATGGATCCAAATATGACAACAATAACAAAATTAAATCGTGATCAATTAAGCGAAATTGAAATTCATATATTAACAACAATAGATCATATATTTCCACAATACACTCCACATATGTTTATATCTTATTTTCTTCGATTTCTTAGTTAGTTTATTTTTTTTTTAATTTACAAAAAAAAACTCAACTTTCGCAAGAATTTAGATGATGAAATGAAAATGATTAGTGAACGTTTACATAATGCATCGATGCTTTTACTTGTTCATATTTATTTACAATGGACATCACTTATTGAAATTTTAGCAAAAAAAGAAAGTGGATCATCAACAGTGACTAAAATACAAATGTATTAAATAGATTTGATTATTTTATTTTGATAATAATCTATTTGTTTTTTGTTATATTAGGGAAAGTGTTACTCAACGATTACGTGATCCATTATTACTTGGTTCAGCTACAATTCTTGCAGCATCAAAAATGTTTTGTCATGGAATGAATTCACAAATTCATGATAAGGTTTTATTTATTTTCATATTTGAAAAAAAAATTTTTATTTTTATTTTTTCGAAAGAATAGATCATCAGTTTATTTGTTAGTCTTCTTGGTATTGATCCAATGCGTATTTATATGGCTCAATTTTTTGCCGAAGAAGTTCTACAAAAATCAGTCAATGTTAGATTATTAATGGGACAGACAGATAATTCAAATTCAAGAATTTTAGTCGATCGTGAACATGATTTTGATGATGAATCAATGATGACATTTTCCTCACCATAAAAACATTTTCTTTGTTTTCTGTTCAATTCAATTTATTCTTGTTCATATTGAAAGAAAAAATAATGCATTGTATTTTGTGGAAATTCAAATAAAATTTTGATTAAATTTTCACTGATTAATCAGTTTACAATCATGAATAGATTGATATAAGACATTTTCAAGCATTTTTACAAAATAGAAATGTCTTTCTGTTATATACTCCGTTGTGTATCTGCTTGAAATATGAGTATAGCTATGCATTAGGAAAACAAAAAAAAGTCGATGCATTAGAAATATAGAATACGAAAATGATTGGAAATTTTTTAACAAGTATACAATAAGCCAGAATCTTTTAGCTAAATCGTATAGTAAGACATTTATTAAATATGTTTGTTTAAAAATGTTAGTAGTTAACATATCAGTTTCTGATGGCATTGTTATCGAATGAATTAATCTTACAGTAAAAAATGAACTGAATAAAATTGACGCCAGGAAAATACATTGAGAAAATATAAGAATCTTCCATGAAAACAATATATTTTTCTTGCCTTGTTAATATTTTCAATCGTTCAAGTTTCCAATCATTTTTTTAATCTAATGAATGTTAAATAAATGAAAAAATTTTCAAAATGAAACTTTGATATTTCAATATCAGATGCAGTTATATTTATATTTTTAATCTATTGCAAAGAAAGAAAAGCTAGATTTTGAAATGGGTTCGTTAAGAAATTGTATTAATCGAACAATAATATTGTGTTGTCTGTAGTGGTTACAATATTGAATATATTGATAAGAAAGCAAATACTAAAACTAAACAAATATTCAATTTTATAGCGCTTCTGACAAGAAAAAGATCATTGGCAAACTACACATTTAGTTTTCTTCTCTCTCTTTAAATACATTGATTTTATAGGCAAGCTTTCTTCGGATCACTGTATTAGTGCTAGTAATTCAAGTTTAGAGCCATTGCTAATTACTAGTATACGTAGTTCAGTAGGCAAGTTGAACATTAGCTTGTTTGAAATGTGATTACGCAAAATGTTTACTTGTGTAGAACACAATTACACAGACTTTTTAAGTATTCTACTAACTTAGTACTCAAGAATCATTAGAACAAAGATGGTGAAGTAAATAACTGTACATATTTTCCCTATTCTATATCTCGAAACATTAGTAAGCTAAAAACAATTGATTAACTTTGGGTTTTCATTATGGATCGAATCTTTATTCAACGACAGATCAACAATAGGCATTTATATCTTACAATGGAGGTGTTTGTGTTGTCAGTTGAATTAACTAGACATATTCAGGTCAAATGAAAGCTCTCACCGCCAAACTAACAAGGTTATAATATTAGCGGCTGTTGACTTGCCTACAGGGAGATATTCGAATTTTAAGGTATTTACAGTATATGTAAGATACCCACTATTGAACATTTCGACCGAATTAATGTTTCTTTTATTGTAATGGTTGGATAAAGCTCGTTGAGTTGTATTAGAAAAACTGTGTTTCAAATTTTAAAAAGATATCTAAAAAATTTTAGAAAAATATCCATCCAAGTTACGATTATTTTGAAATGTTGGGGGAAATAGACATGAAATTGTGACTTTCGTAAAAAAATTTTTTCAAGTTCATTTTTAAAATTTGAGACACAGTTTTTCTAATGTAACTCGACAAGCTCTATCCTACCATTACAAAAAAAAGAAACATTAATTCGGTCGAAATGTTCAATTGTGGGTATCTTACACAAGGGGGAAAAAGCAGATTTTAAGATTTTAAGATTTTAAAAGATTTTGAAAGATTTTGAAAGATTTTGAAAGATTTTGAAAGATTTCAAAAGATT